AAGAATCCAAAGAATAAATAATCGTAATCTTACTATGGTTGGCAGAAAGCCCAGAAGCAATTTGCAGAGAACTAAGATCAATACGCGAAGGAGAGTGAATGAAGTTGTTCCCTGCAAATTGCTTCAGTCGGTGTTCCTCCTTAAATAGGCTAAGGGAGTAGCCAATTAGCCCCAAGCCTTACTCTCGGGAAGACCTCCTCCTGAGGAGCCACTCCTGCCTTTTGACAGCTCTGCGCGCCCGTGCATCGAGAAGAGGCTCCTCCTCTTCTTCCTCTTCACTTATGGGAGCTTCTGGAGGTTCTGAAGGCCGTGGCTGAATCCCCTCCTCTGGCACCACATCTTCTCCAGCCTCCTCATTGTCCAACTCGAGTGCCAGCTGCACAGGCTGCTGGCGCAGCACCACACCAGCCTCCTCGCTGTCGGAATCAGCTACTAGCTGCACAGGCCGCTGACGGGCCACAACACTTAACAGCCAGGTGACTAACTTATCAACCGCAGTGATTCGCTTAACAACTTGTGGCAAGAAAGGTCGTAAAATGGAGCCAAGCTCCCTGAACAAATGTCTCACTTAATAATGGAAATTTAGGGCTCAACTGTGGTCATACGTCAAGGACTACCGTTGCACGCCAGTTGCCAAGTGTCTGAATTTTGACCACACAGGTTGTAAGTGTGAAAAATCAGTCATAAGTCACTTTTTTCAATGCCGTTGCAACTTCAAATGGTCACTAAAAGAATACTTATATGTCAAAATATATCTACACATACCGCGTGTTTAATTTATTTATTAATCAGTGGAACAACTTGCCTCCAGTAGTTGTAAATGCTCCAACACTGGAAGTTTTTAAGAAGAGATTGGATAACCATTTATCTGAAGTGGTGTAGGGTTTCCTGCCTAAGCAGGGGGTTGGACTAGAAGACCTCCAAGGTCCCTTCCAACTCTGTTATTCTGTTCTGTTCTGTTCTGTTCTGTTCTGTTCTGTTCTATTCTATTCTATTCTATTCTATTCTATTCTATTCTATTCTATTCTATTCTATTCTATTCTATTCTATTCTATTCTATTCGTTCGTGTTTGTTAAATTTATTTGCCGCCTTTCTACTATCTCTTGAAATCCTCCCCAAGGTTGGATTAAATTAATGAGCAATAAAATTTCCCTTAAAGTCAAGCCGAAAAAGGGCAGGAACAGACGGAAAGGTGATTGTTCACAATGCAACAACTAATTAAAACAAGGAGATTCAAGAGGCCTGTTTAATTTGGATATCCTTCTCCACTCACCCGTGCAAATTGTGTTTTTTTCTTTCTTTCTAATATACTGTATAATTCATATTCTGCTCTTCCTCCTGGAGGATGCCACTGAATTGTTAAGCACCACAACCAGTTCGAATTTGTGGTCCCAGAGGAAATAACACAACAGCTTTCTTCTGACTTTATACCTTCGTGACTAGATTCCACCCAAAATCATCTTCATTTAACGACTCCATAATCCTTTGCAGGGCGGAGTCTGGGCAACTGAATGGAGCTAGCAGAGTGTTTTAATGGCCGGATGCCCTTCCCGACGCCAATGCAGAGTTTTGTTCGGCAGATATATTCTCATTGTGCTCAGAGAGAGAAAAATCTGCCTCTACCTAGGATCGAACTCGCAGCCTCCGGATTGTGAGGCGAGAGCTCCACCTCCAGGCTACCACACCACTCCTGAGCCACCCCCCCCCCAAAAAAAAATAAATCAAGAAAAATCCGTCACGAAGGCTCAATATTTTACCTCAGATCAAGGGGTCAAAGATCAGATCAAATTCAGCAAAATCCCTGAATTTATTTGGACGCCGTGATTTCAATCTGTCCAATTCTGAAGGGGCAATTTTTGAAAATTTATTTTAATCTGGAGAATGAAGGATTCACCCAGGATAGCAGAAATCCTGATCTACTACAGGTAGTCCTCGACTTCCGACCACAACTAAGCCCAAAATTTCTGTTGTTAAGTGAGACATTTGTTAAGCCTCATTTTACGACCTTTCTTGCCACAGCTTTGCCTCGTGAGTTTTGCCTCATTTTACAACCTTTCTTGCCACTGTCGTTAAAAGGATCACCGCTGTTGTTCAATGAGTAACCTGGTTGTTAAGTGAATCTGGCTTCCCTACTGACTCGGCTTGTCAGACGGTCACCAAAGGGGATCACGCGACCCCGGGTCACTGCGACCGTCATAAATATGAGTCAGTTGCCAAGCATTTGAATTTTGATCACGTGACCACGGGGATACCGGAACGGTCGTTAAGTGTGAAAAACGGTCATAGGTCCCTTTTTTTTTCAGTGCCGTGGTAACTTTGAGAGGTCACTAAATGAACTGTTGTAAGTTGAGGAGGACCTGGTATTGCCAACTGCTGAAATGTTGTTGTTTTTTAAATGTTGGTTTAATGTTAGCTAGATGGCCTGAAAATTAGAGTCAAAGCAGTCGACCATATAAACCCTGATTCTGCATTCACCAACTTGCCTTGTTGGTATAGATATTGAAGAGGTGATGTTCTGAACACATGACAGTAAGAGAGTTGGAAAGGGCCCTTGGAGATCATCTAGTCAAACCCCCTGCTCATACAGGAGATATATACTAGGGATTCGAACTGCCAAACTGCCGAACCTTTCTGATCGACAAGCTCAGCATCTTAGCCACTGAGCCACCTAGTCAGACGATGGATTAGTGACAATGGACCCCATCTGAATTTTTAGGTAGCCCCCCCAAGACCCCCCCGATGTGAAAATGGTTTCTATGTAATATTTCTAAATTTGGCCACAAACCCTCAGGCCAAAAAGGAGGTCCATCCAAAAGGTTCTTCTTTCTTATGTGCATTTCCAACACAGAGCAGAGAGAAATTCAAAAGGACAAGGGTCTCTCAAGGTCACCTAGTCCACCCTCCTATTCTCAGGGGGGAACACGGGGCAATCTCCCATCAACCCCTTCGGTTATAATTTCCACCGTTTCAGATTTTTCGACAAAGACAAAAAATCAGCCCATCCCTCCCTATTTTAAGCCTGTCATGCAATCCTCTCATTTTCTTCTTCTTTCTCTGTTCTTCTCCTCTGCTACCGTTTCTTTTCTCTTTCTTTCTCCTATCTTCCCTCCCTCCTTTCTTCCTATCTTCCCTTCCTTCCTCCCTCCCTTCCTTCTTTCTCATTCCCATCTTCTTCTTTCTTTCTTTTTCTTTTCTTCCTTCCTTCCTTCCCATTTCCATCTCCTTCCTTCCTTCTTTTCTTCCTTCCTTCTCCTTCCTTCCTTCCATCCTTCCACTTCCCATCTTCTCCTTTCCTTTGTCCCTTTCTTCTTTCTCATTTCCATCTCCTTCCTTCCCTCCCTCTTTCCTCCCACTCCTTCCTCCCTTCCTCCCTCCTTCCCTCCCTGTCCCTTTTCCCATCTCCTTCCTTCCTTCTTCTTCCCATCTCCTCCCTCTCTCCCTCCCTCATTCCTCCCTCCCTTTTCTCATTCCCATCTTATTCCTCCCTCCCTCCCTCCTTCTGTCTCCTTCCTTCCCATCTCGTTCCTTCCTTCTCCTTCCCAATTCCTCCTTGCCTCCCTCCCTCATTCCTCCCTTCCTTCTTTCTCATTCCCATCTTCTTCCTCCCTCCCTCCCTCCCACTCCTTTCTTCCTCCCTACCTCCGTCTCCTTTTTTCCCATCTCCTTCCTTCCTTCCTCCTTTCCTCCTTTCTCATTCCCATCTCCTCCCTCCCTCCCTCATTCCTCCCTCCCTTCTTTCTCATCCCCATCTTATTCCTTCCTCCCTCCTTCCTTCCTCCCTCAGTCTCCTTCTTTCCCATCTCCTTCCTTCCTTTTCCTTCCCATCTCCTCCCTCCCTCATTCCTCCCTTCCTTCTTTCTCATTCCCATCTTCTTCCTCCCTCCCTCCCTCCTGCCTCCCACTCCTTCCTTCCTCCCTCTCTCTGTCTCCTTCTTTCCCATCTCCTTCCTTCCTTCCTTCCTCCTTTCCTCCTTTCTCATTCCCATTTCCTCCCTCCCTCCATCATTCCTCCCTCCCTTCTTTCTCATCCCCATCTTATTCCTTCCTTCCTCTCTCCTTCCTTCCTCCTTCAGTCTCCTTCTTTCCCATCTCCTTCCTTCCTTTTCCTTCCCATCTCCTCCCTCCCTCATTCCTCCCTTCCTTCTTTCTCATTCCCATCTTCTTCCTCCCTCCCTCCCTCCTGCCTCCCACTCCTTCCTTCCTCTCTCTCTGTCTCCTTCTTTCCCATCTCCTTCCTTCCTTCCTTCCTTCCTTCCTTTCCTTCCTTCCTTCCTCCTTTCCTTCTTTCTCATTCCCATCTCCTCCCTCCCTCCATCTCCTTCTTTCCCATCTCCTTCCTTCTTTCTCCTTCCCATCTCCTCCCTCCCTCGTTCCTCCCTTCCTTCTTTCTCATTCCCATTTTATTCCTTCCTGCCTCCCTCCTGCCTCCCACTCCTTCCTCCCTCCCTCCCTGTCTCCTTCTTTCCCATCTCCTTCCTTCCTTCCTTCCTCCTTTCCTTCTTTCTCATTCCCATCTCCTCCCTCCCTCCATCTCCTTCTTTCCCATCTCCTTCCTTCTTTCTCCTTCCCATCTCCTCCCTCCCTTGTTCCTCCCTTCCTTCTTTCCCATTCTCTGCCTTCCTGCCTCCCACTCCTTTCTCCCTCCCTCCCTCCGTCTCCTTCTTTCCCATCTCCTTCCTTCCTTCCTTCTTTCCCTCCTTCCTTCTTTCTCATTCCCAACTCCTCCCTCCCTTTCTTCCCTCCTCCCTCTCCCTCCCCCTTCCCATGTCCCCCCTCCTCTCCTTTATGTTTTCCGGGCAACCCCTCCCTCCTCGTACAGCATCCTCTGCACCAGCCCCGCTCTGATCCTGACCTCCAACTTGCTCCTGAGGATGCCTGGATTAAGAAGAGCGGCAGCCAGCCGACAACACCTGGGAAGTGGCAGTGAGTGCCTTTCCTAGAAAAAACAGCTCCAGTCAAGCGTCCCACCCGTCCAAATAAAAGAGTGAGACTTTCGCACCTTACTGGCTCCAGGGAGTAAGTGCAATTTCACGTATGGATCAGCAAGCCCATTATGATCCATCGGCTTCAGGCCCTGAAGAGAAAGAGACAAAAACAGATTATAAAGAGGGAAGTTCCAGCTGCTATCAATCTGAAAAGGGAGAGGGGGGGGGGAAGCAACCCCCATCCTCTTTGTTATTCAGAGCCTGTGGTGTCTCCACCTGATTTATTCCAGGCAAAACAAATTTATCCACTCCTGTTTACACAACGCGCTCGGGTCTGTCTAATGATTATGCCGCCCGCCCTCCTCGAGCCGGCTGTGATCGTGCCAACGGGGAGCCGGTTAAACGCACGACGATCATCGCACAGGCCCTGGGCTCGAGAAAGGTTGAAACAAGGCAGAGGCACAAAGTCCCAATTCAATGCCGGAATTGGGCAGGTCTAGTTTAATGCAACAGAGCCGCAGCAGAGGGATGAAAGAGCCACATGCGGCTCCAGAGCCACCAGTTGCCGACCTCTGCTCTGGGAGCTCAAGAATAAATCTTGACCGGGAGTTCTTACTCTCTCTCTCTCTCCTGGCACGTGATGGCCTGGTGATCCCATTTTTCTCTCTCCCCAGGCTCCAGGACCTTTCTAGTTGGGACCAGAAATTGGCAAACGGGCCATTTTCGGCCTCCGGAGAGCCTCTGGGGTGGGGAGAAAGGCCATTTTCACCCTCCCCAGACTCCTAGAAAGGCTCTGGAGCCTGGGGAGAGAGAAAAACAGGCCTTCCCCCCCCCACCCTCCCGAGGTCCTCCAACGGCAGGAAACACCCTGTTTCCCTACTTCTGGTAGGCCCAGAAGGCCTGAAATCTGAGCTCATGTGCCCACCGATATAGGTTCGCCATCACGGGTATAGAGTTTCCTGCCTGAGCAGGGGGTTGGACTAGAAGACCTCCAGGGTCCCTTCCAGCTCTGTAATTCTATTCTAACCACCCAGTTCAGGGAAAACATTCGCAATAGCTATATATCCAACAAAATGAAATTCAGTGGAGGGAAAAGTTAAGGATTTACAGTCAGGCAAGAGAAACCAAATGTACAGGAACAGATTAGGGAAAACTTGGCTCAATAGCAGTAACTGGGAGAGGAATCTTGGAGTCCTAATGGACCATTCATTTAAATACAAGCCAGCAACGTGCGGCAGCTGCCAAAAAAAGGCCAAAACAATCCTAGGCTGCATTAAAAGAGAGATGGAATCAGAATCAGAACAGAGCTGGAAGTTTTCTAGTCCAACTCCCTACTCAAGCAGGAGACCTTATACTATTTAGACAGGTCCAGTCTCTTCTTAAAAACCTCCAGTGATGAAGCACCCACAACTTCTGGTGGCCAGCTGTTCCACTGGTTAATTGTCCTCACTGTTAGGAAGTTTCTCCTTAATTCCAGGTTGCTTCTCTCCTTGATGAGTTCCCACCCATTGTTTCTTGTCTTGCCTTCAGATGCTGTGGAAAATAGGTTGTGGCAGGAAGAATTAGGGGCGACATGATAGCGGTCTCCCAGTATTTGAGGGGCTGCCACAAAGAAGAGGAGGGGGTCAATTTATTCTACAAAGCACCAAAGGGCAGGACAAGAAATAATGGTTGGAAACTCATCAAGGAGAGAAGCAACCTGGAATTAAGGTGGAACATCCTAACAGTGAGGACAATTAACCAGTGGAACAGCTTGCCACCAGAAGTTGTGGGTGCTCCATCACTGGAAGTTTTTAAGAAGAGACTGGATAGTCACTTATCTGAAATAGTATTGGTTCTTCTGCTTAAGCAGTGGGCTGGACTAGAAGACCTCCAAGGTTCCTTCCAGCCCTAGGATTCTATATTTTAATCTCCAGGCCTTTAATCATCCTACTTGCTCTTCTTTGCAGTTTTTCCAAAGTCTCAACATCTTTTTTGCAATGTGGGGACCAAAATTGGATGCAGTATTCCAGGTGTGGCCTTACTAAGCAGGTACTAATACTTTACATGAATTTGATTCTATGCCTCTGTTTATACAACCAAGGATTCCATTCTCTTTTTTTTTTTTGACTGAAGCCGAATTCACACCTCAGTTATGGATGCAAATTTTCGCTTTGTTCCAACTCTGCAATTAATTCCTGGCTTAAATAACGGAGGGATTTCTGCAGCTACCAAATTACAGGGATCTTTGATGTGTGATCGCTAGGTTTGTGCAAACCTACACTTTTTGGTCCCACCATCGGCCAACAGAGAAAACGTACCGGGTTTGCAATTCCCAAACTCTACTGGAACAATTTGCAAACAAAACTTCCAAACTTAGGAATCTCCTGTTTTTAGGCTGTCCAAGGATCTGGGGCAGGGGTCAGCAACCTTAAATGCTCAAAGAGTCATTTGGACCCGTTTCCCACAGAAAAGAAAACACCAGTAATGTAAATAAAAGAAATAATGTGAATAAAAGAAAGGAATCATACAGAGTCAGATATATGGGCTCTGGGGGACCCTCTCTATTCACATTATTATAAGGGGAAGACGTGCTTAGATACATGAACTCTGAGAGAACCTCTCTATTCACATTATTATAAGAGAGGAAAGTGCTTGTTGGACAGTTAAACCCCATTAAGTGGTAATATATCTTCTGAGACCTAGATGTCACGAAGGGACTGCCATATGGAAAACATCTGAGTGACCTCACTGTGAATGACACAAAGACCTATATGTTACAAAGAGTTACTTAATCCAATAAATTTACCATGGACAGTAGTAACTCTCCCATTAGCAACTCCGAGCACTTAAGGAAAAGTTGTGTGGCTAAGATAATTTTATAAACTAAAAATAATGGTTTACTAATGGTTTATTAATTAGGAAGTGCGTCAATTATCATATGACAAATGTATGTAACCATATAGGGAAAATCGGATGTATGATCTCATATTAACCATATATGGAAAATGTATGATCTCACTGAATCCTTTGTCTTAGAAATGTATAAAACCGTTGTATCAGAGTTCTCTCCTTGTTCAAAGCTTCAAGCACAAAACTGGCTCTGAACCTTGCGCAATAAAACTGTCTCTGGCTAACCCAGGAATGTTGTTTGGTCTCATCATTCCACAACACCGGGAGCCACAGATGTCCTAACCAGAAGCCTCCCATTCAATTTTGGGGCTGACCGGAAGTCCGGTTCCCCCCAACATAGAGTCTCCTCCTAGAGCGGCATCCTTTTTCCTCTACCTGTCCTAACCGAAAGCCCTATCAATTGTGGAGCCGACCGGAAAATCCACCCCTTGCCATAGAGTCTCCTCCTGGCACGTTGTGCTTCTCCCACTAACTGGAAGTTCCTCTCAAAATTGTGGCACCGACAGGGAGCCGCAGCAGAGGGATGAAAGAGCCACATGCGGCTCCAGAGCCACGGGTTGCCGACCTCTGCTCTGGGAGCTCAAGAATAAATCTTGACCGGCAGTTCTTACATTTAGGAAAGAAAAACCAAATGCACAACTATAGAATAAGTGGTACCTGGGACAAGAGCAGTAACTGTGACAGGGATCTTGGAGTCCTAGTGGACAAAGAAGAGGGAGTCAAGATATTCTCCAAAGCACTGCAGGACAAGAAGCAACGGGTGGAAACTAATCAAGGAGAGAAGCAATTTAGAACTAAGGAGAAATTTCCTGACAGTGAAGGCAATTAACCAGTGGAACTGCTCGCCACCAGAAGTTATAAATGCTCCAACTCTGGAAGTTTTTAACTTACACCACACCATTTCTGACAGATGTCACTCCAGTCTCTTCTTGAAAGCCTCCAGTGATGAAGCTCCCACAACTTCCGAAGGCAACTTCTGTTCCATGGGTTGATTGTTCTCACTGTCAGGAAATTCCTCCTCATTTCTAGGTTGAATCTCTCCTTGATTAGATTCCATCCATTGTTCCTTGTCTGGCCTTCAGGTTGACCCCCTCCTCTCTGTGGCAGCCCCTCAAGTATTGGAAAACGACTATCCTGTTTCCCCCAAAATAAGATATCCCCTGATAATAAACCCAATCTGGCTTTTGAGTGCATGGCAATAAGGCCAAGTGCTTATTTCAGGGTTCAAAAAAATATAAGACAGGGTCTTATTTTCAGGGAAACACGGTATCATGTCTCCCCTGCTCCTTTTCTTCACTAGACTAGCCGTGTCCAGTTCCTGAAAATGTCCATCGTATGTTTTAGCCTCCAGTCCCCTAATTTTTATTTTTATTTTTAATTCTGGCTGTACACCGCCCTGAGTCCTCAGGGAGAAGGGCGGTATATAAATTTAAAATAAAATAAAATAAATAAAATAAATCATCCTTGTTGCTCTCCTCTGCACTCTTTCTAGAGTCTTAACATCTTTTTTATAGTCTGGTGACCAAAACTCGATGCAGTACTCTAGGTGTGGTCTTACTAAGGCTTTATAGAGTGGTATTATTGTAGTACCTCACTTGATCTTGATTGTATCTCTCTGTTCATGCAATCTGGGATTGTGTTGGCTTTTTCGGCAGCTGCCACACACTGCTGGCTCATATTTAGCTGGTTGTCCACTAAGACTTCAAGGACCCTCTCACAATCACTGCTGTTAAACCTGTTTTCACCCAGTGTACTTGCTTAAGCGTAAGACTTTCCTTTTCTCTACGTTAAATTTCATTTTGTTAGATAGGGCCCAGGGTTCAAGTATGTCAAGATCCACCCATAATTCCATGCACCCCACCCCCCTGCGCATGTGCGTGACCCCCCCATGCTCCCCCCATATTTGGCACATGATGGCACGGTGGGTACGGTAGGCCCGTTTTTCGCCCTCCCCAGGCTCCAGAGACTTTCTTGGAGCCTGAGGAGGGTGAAAACAGACTTCCCACCCCCCTGGAGTCCCTCAGGAGGCTGGAAACAGTGCGCGCACCGGCCAGCTGATTTTCTGGCCTTCCAGGCCCACCAGAAGTCGGAAAACAGGCTGTTTCTGGCCTCCGGAGAGCATCTGGGGGGGTGGGGAAGGCCGTTTTCGCCCTCCCCAGGCTCCTAGAAAGCCTCTGGAGCCTGGGGAGAGCAAAAAATGGGCCTTCCCCACCCCACACCAGAGGCCCTCTGGAGGCCCGAAACAGCCTATTTCCCG